ATACATGTGCATATTACGTGTTTAGCGAGGAATAGATCCTGAAACAAGAAACCTAACAATAAATGATAAAAAGAAAATCCACAAGGCACATTCCAATAAGCGACACTCTATACTAGTTGAAGAGGAAAGCTAAGATGAATACGATGCAGTACCTTTCTCCTAGATATTGTTCTTGTTAACTGTGCAGAAAACCCAAAATCTGCATGTCATATACCTCTATTGTTAACTCTGATATCTAACTGGAACTTGAACAGAAATGAATGATGAACAATATCTGGTCAGAATCAATGCAATTACCAAATCCGCTGAAAAAGAGAGTATTTAGTCATTTAATTCACAAAAGAACTTGATGAAGTTGTGCCAAAAGTACTCTCCGTTGGAAAATTGTTAGTACTTTGTTTTTAACTCAGAACACAGAAGTAACAAAAATAGCTAATGAATCTAAAATAGCACAGATTATATACAATCGTTACCTTATGGAAATGTCTGATCAAACAACTTGCCAATACACTTGAATCAAATTCAAGCCAGTAAACATACTTTTGCATACAAACATCTATGGGCAAATCTAATTAAATTCTAACGAGCAATAATTATAGCTCTGTTTAAAATACAAGCTACGAGATGATTGCAACTATGTAAAAGAATCTTCTAAAGATAATTTGCAACATGATCTATTGCTGATCATTCTAGCACCAAAAATAATACAAAAGTCAGCACTATCTTGAACGAGGCAAAACTCTCTTCATAGGTTTCCTCTCTTTTGACATTAAGATAAAATAAAGGCATTCTATTTATAATATATGCTACTTCAGAAATAAGATTTCACAAAATCATTACGAAATAGCCTGTTCCACTGTTAATAAGGCTTACTACTGCATTATGCAGAGAGTTTGTGGGTGGCATATGGCACCAATTGGTAAAATTGGAAAATTTGCTGCCCCATCATTATGTAACGAATATTACACATTGGAAGAAACATAACCAAAAATGATGCTGCTAACAGTCCAAATGAAATATCTTTATGAAGGTATAAATAAGATGGCCTGTCAACAAGACAGCCAAGATAAATCATGATAGCGCCAGGACGGTACACCAACCTGAAAACCCTAACCTTTACATTGCTAACAAGACAACTCCTTTCATTCCATGCTATAAATAGGGTAGCTACTTTTATGCTGGAAGTTAATGCATTTGCAGCTTCGCAATTTTCCCAGAATTGGGTCCAGCTACGCTGCACCTGGCAATAGTCAAATCAAACAGAGGCAGAGTTACGGATCACCTAGCAGTGACTTGCGTAGCAAAATGGATGTTACAATAAAAATGCAAAGAAGAAAGGTTCGTTCATCCTTATTACCTGCCACACAGAGATTAAGCTGAAAACTTCCAGCAAAGACCTAATGAAAGAAAACAAACTAACAACGAATACTTTTACTCTACCAATAATCTAGACATGAGCATTTCCCTTCCTTAAAATGATGAAATCTGCTCCCATCCCTTACAATTATCTCCCTTCCAAACACTCTTGATATCATCTTGGTCACCTCATGACAATCCCAACAAACCCTCAGGTTCTTCACAATCCGAATGCAACTTCCAGGCCCTGTAACCAGAAGACCAAATGCAATAGCTAACCTCTCACTGTGCACCTTAATTGCATTCTCCTTTTCTTCCTCTGCAATATCATGTAAGACAGGTGAAACATTGGGAACATAGCCAGCTGCTGCTAACCGAGTATCAATTATTTCAAGCATCTTTTGTATCTCTAGAGACTGCTCATGCTCTCTATGCCCTGCAACAAATCGATGTACTTTTCCTCGGGCTTCTATCAAGCTCCAACCTGCAACTTTACTAGTGTTTCTCTCAGCCATCAATCTTCGAACTCTAACTACATCTTCCCATTTCCTGGAATTGGCATAAATACTAGCTAATTGCACATAATGTCCATCATAGGTTGGGTCCAGTTCTATTAGTCTATTCCCAATTTCTTCACCCAATTCTGCTAATCCATGAATCCTACAAGCACACAGAACCATTGCCCACAACACCGGGTCTGGTGAGATAGCCATGCTCTCAATCACTTTGATAGCCTCAAATACTAAACCAGCTCGTCCTAAGAGATCAACCATGCAGCCATAATGCTCCATCTCCGGCTCAATGCCATAGCTATCTGTCATCATCTGAAAATAATGTCTGCCCTCCTTAACCAAACCTGCTCGACTACAAGCATTCAGAACCCCCACAAAGGTTACATTCATGGGATGAAGTCCTTCATTTACGAACCTCTCAAAGAGTGTGAGAGCATCCTTTCCAAGTCCATGCGAGGCCAATCCACAAATCATGACATTCCATGTAGAAACATCTCTTCGAGGCATGTTTTCAAACAAAAGCCTAGACTGTTCAATGCATCCACATTTTGCATACATGTCCAGAAGTGCAGTCCCGATGCTAATAGTCATTGGAAGACTCAAAGAATCTATAATCGAATGTATCGACTGACCATGTTCAAGCAAACTTAATTGTGCTGATGTTGAGAGCATTGTCACCAACGTGGCCTCATCTGGTACTAACCCACTATCTGTCATCCTCTTAAAACACTCTAAGGCTTCTTCAAGCTTCCCATTATGAACATAGGCCATAAGCATCGTATTCCACGAAATGACATCTCTTTCAGGCATTTCATCAAACAATTTCTGTACAACACTAACCTGCCCATCTCTTGCAAAACCAGCCAACATTGCATTCCAAGTAACAACGTCACAATGACGCGGACTTTCATCAAACACTTGTTTTGAACTCTCAGTTCTACAACAAGAAGAATATAAATGGATCAATGCATTTCTCACATAAACATCCTCACCAAAACCAAGTTTAAGCACATGCCCATGAACTTGAACCCCTTCATCCAAACCCAAGCCCTTACTACAAGCTTGCAAGAGAAAAGTAAAACTATAGTTATTGGGTCTTACACAGTTTCTTAAGACACGAGAGTAAAGAGCAAGTGATTGTAGAGGCGAGTCGCTCTTGGCAAAGCACCGAATCATGTTATTGGAGGCAAAAACGTTTGGGTTTTTGATTGTACGGTAAATTGAAAGGGAGTAATTAAAAGGGCTGGAAGGGAATACAGCAAGGAAAGAAAGGAGATGGCCCATAAGGGATGCTTTGCCTGCAAGACCGGAGACAATGATGCGAGCATGGGCTTGCTTTGTTTGGGATAAGGATACAAGGTTTCGAGGCAAAATCATTCGTCGAGTTTGTGCGGAGGACTAACTTCTGGTAATGTTTAACTATATTTTTAAAAAGCAGGTAAGGATGGCGGGATTGGAATGTAATACATTGAGTTTTTCATATTTTTTTTTGTCAAAAAAATTCAATTTAACCCAAAACAAATTGAGAAAAAAAATACTTTTACTTTTCATTTTGGCTCGATTTTTTTCTCTCTGAATTAATTCAATTTCTAAAGGGTGGAAAGTTTCTTCAATTGAAAAAAAGAGTTTAGTTTTTTATACTTAGATTCCTAAAAATGAAATTCTTATCTACTTTAATTTTTTAAAATTATATTTTAACTTAGTTTTTTTTAATTGATATTTCAGAACAGAAATGATAAAATATTTTTACTTGAAAAAATAAAAAAGTATATATAAAAAATATATATTTTTAGGATAGTTTTGAAATGAATTTATGTTATTTTAAAATAAAAAATACAAAAGACATGTCTTTATTATTTTCATTTCTTATGTTCCAAGACAATAAAATAAAAAAGGAAGGAACAAATTCAAATTCCTCTTCCAATTCTATTCATTTTAGAAATAAAAGTGTTTGATAGACTAAGCTTCTATTTTGTAATATGCTTCAACTCTCTTTTCAAACGGTTTTCAAACAAAAAAATGATTTAAGGGTAAAATAATTAAAAATTTTAATTTAGTTCATTTCCATAATTATTCCAAATAGTATAATTGAATTTAATTTTATAACATAATATTTTATTTTAAATATAAAAATTATAATAAATTATAATTCAAGTCTCACATGTAATTTGGTTCTAAATCAGATGTAAAAAAACAATAATCATGTTTGAATCATTTGAATTCAAATTAATATTCCAATTCTACTTCATTTTAGAAATAAAAAAGGATGAAGGCCTACATATGGCACGTGTTTTAACTTTATTTTTAAAATATTTTTTATTTAAAAAAATTAAATTAATATTTTTTATATGATTTTTAATGATTTTGATATATTATGCTATTATAAAAAAGAAATAAAAAATCTAAAAAATTTTATTTTAATATATTTTTAATTAAAAATATTTTTGCAAAACCATTTTGCAATGCGTTAGGATTTTAGGTTTGAAGGTGGCTTTAGTTTTTTTTTTCTTTTTATGTGGAGCCTATACAAAAGACTTTTTAACTTTAAAAAATGTATATTATATTTTTTAAAACAATCACCGCTAACAATCACATTTCTATTCTCCCAAATTCTATCGCTCTTTATCTCTCGATTGGTTTCTCAATTCTTAATACCTCAGAACCACCATCCTAATAATTAGATTTCTAGCTCGCAAGAAGCCACACCGTTGCAACTTAGCTTCATGTTTTCTAACAACAGATCACATACTCGGATTTAAAATAGCAGCATCAGCCATCAGCTACTTGAAATAATCTTCCATTCGAACTAAATATTCATTGGACTTGAATCTCTCTAGCTTAATGTTGTACTGGGATCATCAATAAATTGGGAGAATAATAAATTTGGCAGAGTAATCGACGCTTAACATAAATCCAAGCGGAAACAAATTCTCTTCACACGTTTCAGAATGAAGTTTGCTCCCCAAATACCTGCATGAATTTCCATTAGACTTGAATTACTTTAGATTAATGTTGAACATAAATACAAAGAAACAAATACTCCACAGTTCTTGTTTCGCTTTCTGGTTTCAGAAAGAAGTGATAATAAATCCTAATGTCACATTGTAGAAGAACAACATCAGTCAGCTATGCCATTTTTCATCTTTCTTTCCTGATGGATGATTTCATTTCATTAGTCAAAAATCAACTTCAACAGGAATATCCTGCTACAAAGTATGGAAAAATACCCAACAGCACAAAAACAAATGAATACAAACCAGCTATACAAAACAAAACAATGCAGAAGAGATAACAAGCAAACTGCTAGTTTGTGCAAAAAACTGACAATAATATGCCACCAGTAAAATCATGGTATCATGAAATTTGAATGTACACCGAGCATCATCTAGCTTATCAGAACATTTTCCCTCTTATATAAGCTGCTGCCTGTGCCCCACATGTACTGCTTGATGCTTTCTAACCGCAAGCTTGTCTCGGTATGACTCAATGATCGCAATTAACAGCTGGTCGTCCCCAACAACCCGCCTCAGACTCTTGACCAGCTGCAGTCGGGTAATCTTACATTTGCGCAAGTCATCAAAGATTTTTGCCATCAAAGCCTTCTTGGCAGGACCCAACAACTTTGCCAGTACAGGAAATAGAGCAGCAACACTAATAGGACCGTGCTTTTTCAGTTCACTGATCTGATTTCTTAGCAAAACATGGAAAGAAGGGACCTTAAAACTCACTATGTGAATAGGGAAAATGTGAGAATTCATGAAAGCACTCCACACAACCAATCTTCTTGGTGCTTCAAGATTGTCAACACCGGTGTCAAACTTCTCCGAACTTGGATACGTTTGCTTGGAACCCGCAGGAATCACTTCCATCTTCCCCATTAAAACGTTACATAACAGCATATGCCTTGTCCCATTTTCATCAGCACTTGAAGATGCCAGCCTGAAGTAATACATAATTGAGCAACTTTTAAAGATTAGCAAATAAAAACTATTCATAGAAATGCGAGGAGAAGAAGGATGCTGCATTCACTAACACGGAACAATCCACATTCGCTCCAAACACTACCACCAAAATTTCATCAGCATCAGATTTTACTTTATACACTAAACTGTTTAACACCGAATGCCAACTTCCAAGCTCGGAGTTCAATTCCTTTTCAACTTTTTCTCCCTTTAGGACAAGATCATCAATTACTTTCTACATGAATTTAATAAATGATTTCCAACGTGAAACGCGCGCGCGCGATGCATTATCACTAAACTAACAGTACCCAATATCAAAAACACCAAAACATGTATGGGGTCTGTCCTAAATTAGCATTTTCCTATAGTGAAAAGTAAGTGGAAGTAAATTCAAACTAATTTAAAAAGAAAAGAAACATACCCATCAAGGAGAAAATTTGTAGGAGACAAATAAACACCAACACCATGTGATTGACCATTACACTGACTAAACCCATGAGAAATTATTTGAGTAATTTCCTCCTTTGAACCACCGTACCAACCATACATTATATTTGCAACCCCTTCTCCTTCTCCTTGCCATTTCCCTTCACTCTTCTTTAAAACGGCCCCTTCATAAACCCTAAACGCAGCGAACCGAGCCTGCACCGCGAGAGTAGAACCCGAAATCTTGTGTAAGGCAACAACATCTGTGTCCCTGGCATACTGTTTCATGCCCGCAAGAAACCTCCTCTTCACTGATTCATATTGGCTGGATTCTTCTCCAATCTTGATCATTCCATTTCGAGTAAAATTCTTGAATTGATCAGCGGCAGCATCAGGGCGTGGATCAGACGGCTCGTCGGTTTCTGAACTAGCATCCTCCACGATATACTCTTGATGATCTACTGACATTGACAATTGATCTTGTTCCTCCTCCTCCTCTATCATTTTCTTCTCTTTGTCAACAAGAATTGACAGAACCGAACCGAGATTCTTATGTAAAGGAAGAAAAGCCTTCTTTAAAGATTTGATGAGAAATGAGAGAGAGAGGGGGGGGGGTATTTATTACGGCAACAAGACCGTTAGAGAGAGGGTATTTATTACGGCAACAAGACCGTTACTGACTCCGATTGGCAATGGCAAGAGGCGGTCATCTTCTCCTCGTGGGATTTGGATTCTGAACTTGCTCAATTACTGAAATGGGGCTATTACAGTCAATTGCTTTGGTCAAAGCAGCTTAGAAGGACATCGTTTTGTCAAAAAATTGAGGATATTACAGTCATTTTAGAAGAATAACTGTTAATGACGAGAGCACGTGTGTCTGCGTCTGCGTGTTGGCTTACTTCCAGTTCAAGTAATGGGTAAAATCCATTCTAGTCCCTTAGTATTTAGAGGTGTTACATTTTGGTTATTCAAGTAGATTTTCTATTTTACTCCTTTATTTTCAAAACATTTTCTTATGGCTCAAACAGTAAAATAGCTACATAAGCTAATGTCGATACCACCTTTTGATTTATTTCTCTTTTTGATTTTATGAATTTCTTAAGAGTATTATTACATAAATAGAGCTTTGGAAGGAAAAAAAATACACGAAAAAATGATAGAAAAGACATTAAAATTGGTCCTTTCATTTGTCACTACTGGGAAAAACCTCCTTTTTCAACCATTTTCAATTTTAAACCATAAAAAACTAATATATCTTGACTAACATCAATAGACATTTTCTAAGTAATAGAACAGCATCTTCCAACAAGATTAAACAAAAAATTAAGAATCAAGATTTTGATCTAAATTTTATCGGGCCATATTACAATTAAAGCCTCTTTTTTTATGTTAATATCCTATTTATTTTTGCATTTTAAAAATATTTTAAAAAAATTAAATTTATTTTATTTTTTATTTTATTTTAAATTAATAATTTTTTTATGTTTTCAAATCATTTTAATGCATTAATATTAAAATTAATTTTTATAACACAAAATATATTATTTTAATAAATTTTTAAATAAAAAATAACCATAACCACAATACATCTCCTAAATATATTTTTTTAGCTTCATCTCCCAAATATATTTTTTTTAGCTTCATATAGCAAGCAGCGGGCAATACAAGAAATAATTTTTATGATTTTGTGCCAGGTATTGCGATGTCCAATACATTGCGGGTCGCTTAGCATAGATTCATAAATGGGATATAATGACGACAGCAGTATTATTTCCACTTAGCATAGATTCATAAATGGGATGGATATAATGACGACAGCAGTATTATTTCATCCTGGCTTGAGGAGGCGTTTCCTGAATAAATCTAAGAGGCATATCTAACCTCTATCGCATATAGGACCCGCTGATGCATGCAACCTCTACCGCATCTCTTACAGGCAAGCGAGGAAAGAGCAGTTCAGAGACCCAACAATAGAAAACGGTGACTCTTCAATTCGTGGAACGCTGGGTGCCCTCAAAATCATTAATACTCAAGTCTTACATAATTTGACAATCATAAATGAACTACCAAGTGAAGAACCATTCGCATTAGACTTTTGGTTCTTCCCAAAAGGACCATTATTTTGCAAAGACCGAAAAAACCAGCAAACTCTGTGGAAGGAAGGGGAGAAAGAATGGTTAGAATATGGAATAACAATAATCATGATAAAGTTTTCACAAGCCTCGAGTTCTAGGTTCTAATGGTACATGGTTGACGCCCAATGTATCAATGAGGATTGATTCGACCTAACAGCTCCTTTGCCCAGATTTGATTTAAGACCTCATAGGCCCAAAACGTTGCAGCACTGCAGCACTATGTAGAAACAATTGTTTAAGATTTGATTGCCTTTGACCTAAACCACCAAAAAAAATATGAGGATAGAACTGCACTTTCCTTGTGAAAGAATATAATTAGCGAGGCATGCCTCCATGGGAGCAAAAGTCATAGTACTTCCTTGATATTTGAACAACAGCAAGATCAATCTCCGTTAAATGGTGAAGCTTCCACATGTGTACTGGGAGAGAAGGCAGCAAGGCCTTTGCAGAGAGGTAGCACCTAAAGCTGTTCCTAGCCGAAGTACATGTTCTTCCAGGACCAGTTTCATGCATAATACATGTAAAGGCTGTTTGAAGCAGCACAGGCGAGTGAGTTCTCAGTTGGATGCCATGCTAGATGCAACAACTTGGTTGTGAAATCAAACGCATTTCCATTTGTATCAGCTCCAGAGTTGTCAGCTCCTTTGGAAGTCATGAAGGAAAAAGGATGTTAAACTCGAGAAAAAAATACATCTCTAGGGTTAGCTCAGATGATGGACAATTAAGTGAGACAACAAAGAATTATTAAGGGAACTTGGCAGAAAGGAGCGGTAAACTTCCTCCAGCATATACAGACCTCGCCTAAAACCACGGGAAAGGGTGCCCAGAGATCTAGAAGGCCTTGATGGGGTTTGAACCTGTCTCCTGTTCAGTTCATAATATAAATTAACCACATGAAACAAGAATATGGCCAGCAAGAGTCGTATGAAAACCAACAGTCATGTTCAATTTCAGTTCACATAACAGAGGAAGTGATCATCAACAGTGTTTTGACACAATTTTGTATATTTGGAGTGAAAGAATGCTTCTTATATTATCATTTACATGAAATATCCTTAATTCACACTCAAACGTACCTCATTGGATTCTTGCTGGCTTCCAATGTTGTTGCTTCAGTGCTTCCATCAGTACAACCAAACACTCGAAATAGGTTGCTGAAATGACAAAGAAAGAGTATCATGTGATTTGTAAAGCATCCTTTAACCAGGACAATGGTAAGGGCTAATGGATCATTCAAGTATATGAAGCACACCTGTAGGAACCAGTTGCCACTCGAAGTCCATCTCCACTCAGACAACACTCGAATTTGTCAAAGATGGAATCGTTTTCATACAGATCACAAAGCTGATCAATAGCAAAAAACAAAACCACATCACATTGGATTAGAACACAGCATGATCTCTACTAAATGCCATCTAAAATTGCAAAGAGGATTCTCAAGAAGAATATATCACCTTAGGTCTAAGGTATTCATGAACCTGGAAGGTGGAAACTGGTCCAGAGTCCATATTTATGTCCCACAACTGACAACCAAGAAATCCAGACTTTGTGAAAACAGGCGCCACAGTGCAACAGAACAAAAGCAGAAGGAAAGTACAAGATTATCAATTTTTAATATTCTGTCAATACTTTTTCACTCTTAGATCTGGTAGGTTGGGAGGCTTATGGGTGGCTAGTAATCCCAAAATGAGGGTGCCCAAGCCCCCCTCATGCACACAGAACTATTATATTTTTTCCCCTCTTCCTTTTCAAATAAGTTAATAAAACTCAAATAATTTTTTGATCATCACTCTTACAACTAACAGTATTTTAATCCTTTTTCTCTTTCTTTCTACTAACAACCAAACAACCAACCTTTACAATTTAAATGATTACTAATAAGAAGTACACCTCTGACAATTCACCTCCATCTTTTAACCTCGTGACAAATGCACCATTAGCATTAAAAATAAAAACACACGATTAGGTTTTGTAGTGTGCAGCTTAGATTAAGTGATGAACTTCCACAAGCCACATAGTTTAGAAAATCATCCAGCACAAGGTAATATATACCATGAAACAACAGCGAAGTCCATATTGAAAAAGTGTGCTTAAATTGAGAAATAAATGCATGATATGTATTAAAAAAAAATCAACCTTGAGAGTCATGTAATCACGACTAAGAATATATCTCCCATCCTTGGCAAATTTAATATCTGAGATTGAGGCAATTATCTCCGTGAAGAAGGATCTTGAACCAGGCACCTCTTGTTCCTCAAACCTGGGCCAGTAGAGAGCATAATGCATATATTCATGAGAAAAGAAAAATAAAAGCAACTCCGTACAAGATACAAAAAATTAATCCCATGCTATGTTCATAGCTTCAAGCTGTTATATAATACATGAAAACTCAACAAAAGGGAAAACCATGTTGACCAAAAAAAAAACCTTCCTTACAATTTGCTATGAGAATCACATAGAGCTGACTGTCGCATGTCAGCTAAACGAATTGAGCCCCTTGAACTACTATAAGCCAACATATTACAATGAGTAGGATGAAATTCTGCTGAAGTTATCACCTCTGCATACATGAATTCAAATGTGTGAATATACAAAGACAATTCCATATAGCAAACAGAACACTCAAGTGATTTTCAATATTGAAATCTACTAGATAAATACATGCTTCAATCATCAAAAAAATTATATGAATAAGAAGCACAGCAAGAGCAGAAAAGTTGGTCTCACGCCAAACAACCCATGCTTGCAGGAAAAGGGTTAAGAGAACTAAACAACAGCACATACACAACAGGAAAGATCATGTATCAAGCTCAGTAAGACTCTAAACAGAATCTTTCTAGAATCTATCAAAAAAAAAAGAGTACCCCTTAGAAAACATTTAAAACCAAAAAACATCATAAAATACTTGGATGTTTCATTTCATGCAAAATACAGGGGTTCTCACCAGTCAGATCCTCCATGTTTGCAGGCTTTACATCAACAATATTGAAACTCTGATTGCTTATTTCCAAATTCCAAAGATTTATTCGCAGATCATCAGCAGATATAAAAGTTTCACCATCACTGCAAAATAAAAAAACAAAGGAATAGCCAATAATGCATAATGTCATGACTATTGTAAAGAAGCATGCTTTCAGATTTGACAACATTCTGGAAAATTTCAAAACATGCATTATGGACAACAATATAAAACTATCCAAAAAAATCAAAATATAGCAGACTTGTTTCTTCAAAGAAGTACCATAAGATGACATTGCTCTTTGAAGTCAAATGTCATTGCAAGATCAAATACTCAATTAAAAGGAAATGATAACATAATCAAAATGGACATCAAGTGAAAAGGCACAAAAAACATATATATTAAACTTAATAAGGGATGTTAAAGACAAGGCATGTAGAAAATGGAGTTACACGTTCATGAAATAAGGGGGTGCACCTGTTGTTAGAAATGGAGTTAATGTGATAGTCATGAGCATGAGCATATATTCTCCGACACCTAG